GATTGCAAAGCAGAAATTCTGCACTCCGATCACATTTTAGGCATTTACAGTAACTGTGCACACTAACTATAGTGGACAGCACCATCAGATACACATCAGATCAATATGATGGACATCATTTCTTGTATATATCATTTACCTGCTGATGTGTTTGAACTTGTCTGCAGCCACAGCAAAGAGAGGAGGACACCAACCATGAGACTGAAAGGAGCACAAGCTGCAATCATCTGTCTTCTCACTTTGTCAGGTATTTTATATTTACATTTTCATATTTTACAGATAACTGACTCTTGATCAACTATAAGAAAATACACAGAAATATGGAACATTTGCAGTTGATGGTTTTCTAAACATTTTAAACTCCAGCTCTGTTTTTGCAAGACTTGAAGAGAAAATAGTTTCTGTTAAACTTCTTTAACAGTCAATTTCTTTTTCAAGTGTATTTTTTTCTGTTTGACAATTCTTTCTTTAAGTACATCATAAATAACTGCTCAGATGCAGACATAGGCTGAGCACTATTGTGTCATGGTCCGCGGTCAGTAAACCAGTGTATTGAGTGTTGTGCTTTTAATTTCTTAGGATGGTTGTGTTTCAGGTTTCAGTTTGTGCTTCTAGCTCTTCTGTTCTCCTTGTTTTGAGATTTCTACTGCTTAGCTTTTGGACCCTGTACCCCCATGTTCTGTGTTGGTTTACTTCTGTTCAGTGTCTATTCTGGGTCTGTGTGTCTGTCGTTTACTTCTTGTTTTACTTTAACAGTCTCTCGTCAGTGTACATCATATTGTGTTTGGTCTTTCCCCGTCTCATCATTATTATTAGTGTCAGCTGTGTCCCCTGTGCTGTTCGTTGTTAGCTTTCTGTGTATTTATGTCACAGTCTCACTCAGTTCCGTGTCATGTCATCCCTGGTTTTGTGGAATTTTCCATGTGTTTCCTGAGTGGTCAGCTAACTAGCTTTTCCCAGTTTAGGTTTGTATTGTTTATTTCCCCAGTCTGTAAATAAAGCCCTTTTTTGAGTTACGCTCCACTTCCGAGTCTGCATCTGGGTCTTTTCCTGCCTGCACACAGCTGCTCCC